CCAGAATATCGGAAATAAAAGCAAAAATAAACAAATGGGACCTAATGAAACTTAAAAGCTTTTTATCGGGATGGGGAATACATGTAAATCCATGGCTGATTCATGTCAATGTATGACAAAACCCACCACAATATTGTGAAGTAATTAGCTTCCAACTAATAAAAATAAATGAAAAAAAAAAAGAAAAAGTTCAGCCTGCTGTTGGATAACAGAAGAGATAGGGACATCCTTGTCTCATTCCTGGCCTTTGTTTTCCCCAGTAAATGTGATTATTCTTGTTTTCTTGTGGCTTCCATATTGAGTCAAGAATGTTTTTTTACTTTGCTTTGTATTCTTAGTTTGCTATGAGTTTTGTTTTTGTTTTAATCAGAGATGGGGGCTGTATAATGTTGCCTGAGGTCCTCCTATGAGTTTTTTTCTCCTTTTGTATGTATTATAGTGAATCGCACTAATACATTTTTAGTATTGAAACACTGTTGCATTCTTGAAATATTTGGTTATGGTGAAATTAAAAAAAAAAGAATTTACTGTGACACATCACAGCATCAGTTTCCTTTCTCTTATCATGTGTTCCATTCTGTTCTTTATCCTTCTTATCATACTCTTTTTTATTTTACTGTATCGAAAATAAAAATGCAACCCAGCTCACAGTGAACCCACTCTGATCTAGCACTTATGCAGCTCAAGTGGATCTATTCTATGCCTAGAAAGAGAAAAGAACTAAGACTACAAGGAATTTTCCCTGTGTTCCTTTCTTCCACAACTCAATAGATACAGATACCCAGATGTCCATGTAGCAGTTTTGAAATTCTGTGGGGGAAAAAAAAAAATTCTGCCATTCAATAGATCTCGTGTGGAAAGTGCTCTCACTGGTAAATATTTGCCTTCTATTTATTCTAGCCAAAAGTTTAGTGGTAAGGAAAAATCACTCTACATGATTTTAACTATTTACAAACCTGGTGGCTCAGACAGTAAAGAGTCTGCCTCCTGTGTGGGAGACCCGGGTTCAATCCCTGTGTGGGGAAGATCCCCTGGAGAAGGAAATGGCAACCCACTCCAGTATTCTTTCCTGGAAAATCCCATGGGTGTAGGAGCCTGGCAGGCTACAGTCCATGGGGTCGCAAAGAGTCAGACATGACTGAGTGACTGCACTTTCTTTCTATTCTATAATGAAAAAAATAAAAGAATATATAGTTGCCAGGGTAACTGGTAACAAAGTCAGGACCAAAATCTATCTCTTCTGAATATAAATTCACCTCTTTTCATGAATTCAAATAGCACCATGTGAATCTGACAAACACGTACTCTGAACAAATCTCTTCACTTTAATTCAGTTTTTGATGTAGATGCTGTTTTGTTATGTTATAAAGAAGTGGCTTGTTTTGCCATTTTAAAGGTCTATTGAATTTTATGTGTTTTGATTAGCTTTTTAATTATTTACTCATAATGCGTATTTTTCATCTAAACAGACACCACTGATTGATTGTTCAATGTATTAATATTAAAACAGATGCCAAAGTCTGCCTTTGAAGACCTTAACTTGTAAGAAAACTTTAATCTTAATTTGATTTTGCTTCCTGTGTTAGGAAGTGGACACATTTAGTATTGCTGTGGACTTTTCACTAGTTAAAACAGATTGAGTTTCTCTTTTCATTAAACTTTCAACAAAAATGCATATCTCTATTCTTAACCTTGAAGCGCTGTTCTTTATCTGAGTCCCCGGGGATTTCTGAGACAGAGTAAAACAAAAGTGTTGGGAAAAAAAGATGTGGCAGACAGAAAAAAATCAAAGAGGAAGCAAATGAAACTTACCAATTCTGTGTGGCCAGCACACTTGCAAGTTGTAACATGATACCATTTATTACATGATAGGTGATATGGTCTATGGTACATTCCTAGGGTCATCCTTACCTCCATGTATTTTGCTATTGCTGCCTCCTCAAATAATATTTTCTTGCCTTAATTTGTATTAAAAATAATCTAGTATTTTTTGCTCAACACTTTGTGAAAAATTTTCCCTTTGCTCCTGCAAGTCTGTGACTTGTTCCTTATACTGACAATGCTTACCATCATAATCCATGTCCTTTTATAATTAATCTTGAAATAGTTATACCTGTATTCTGCACCAAAAGAGAAAGAAGAACACACCCAGTTAGAGCAATATGTTAAAATTATTGACTAATAATGGATTGATAACATTTTTTGTTCAAACATTAAAAGCAGGTGAAGCAAGGTTGAAGTTAAAAATGGCAATTTAGAAAGCAGAGCAGAGGAGTGAAACTTTATTTTCTTGATATTACAAGCATGAGTAAGGAATTGAGTTTTTCCCTTGAAAATTCTTCAATCATTTGTTAATCATAAGTTTGAAAAATGTTCAATAAATCACAGAGTAATTTTGCATTGCTTGCTATATTTCACAAAATATTTTTCAAGTACATTATGCCACTTAATGCTTAAACATTTTTTAAGGAAAGCACAGCAGTACTTTACCATTATTAAAGATAAGGAAACTAAGTCTTAGTGTTTTAGTATCTCCCCTATCTATGTTCAGAGTGAAGCTGGGACTTAAACTGTCATGTATTAACTGAGCTTAAATGTTGAAGTTAATCCTTGTATCTTGTTCTCTGTGAATCATATTTTGCTTTCTGATATTCTCAATAAATCTCCAAGCTTCAAAATGCAGGATTTATTAAGCTTTTCAAGGTCCTTTCGTTTTAAGCTTTACATGAGTCTACTTTCCCTGAAAGCATCTAGTTCAGCAAGCATTTTCTATGTTCTCCATGTACCAGAAAGTGTGCTGCGCATGATGATTCATGCCATTTCTCAACTGGTAGACAAGTTATGTCAGTATCATCTGGAAATGTGGAAAAAAATACCAACTTTAGACTTCAGTCTGAATTAGTCAATTGAATTTCTGGGGAAAAGAATGTAGAGATGTTTAGTCATAATTCCTAATAATCTGACCAAGAGCTAACTGTGCAAAAATTAAATGAATTAAAATTTTTTAAATTAAATTTTTAAAAGAGATAAAGATTGTAAACATTGCAGAAGGACAAAACAGATCTAGGCTTGGATCATGTAATCACTCTGAAATGTGTGAATTACAAAGGGATGGAGTAGGTCATAATTAAAATCTATCCATGGCGCACGTTATTTACAATGTAGGAATTAGAACACATGCAATAAGTAGTCGTTCAACAGACTCCCCAGAAAGGTTAAGTAACTTTGGATAGTTTATAATGTTAGACAAAGGATCCTAAGTGCTTAGATCTCAAGGGTCTTTGCATTAATTTACTAGGGCTGACATTCAAAATACCAGACTGGGTATCTTAAACAACAGAAATATATTTCGTTGTAATTCTAGAGGCTAGACATCAAAAAGCTAGGGTTCATCAGGTACTGTTTCTTCTGAGACCACTCCTTGGCTTGCAGATGGCTGCCTTCTCACATCTCACATTCTTTTGCTTGTGCATGCCCGCCTCTAGGATCTCTCTGTGTCCTAATTTCCTGCTGCAAGGACACAGGTCAGATTAGATTAGGGTTCAGCCTAATAGCCCTCATCTCAATATAATCACTACTGTAAAAGCACAATTTCCAAATACAGTCAGACTCTGAGATAGTGCACATTACAGATTCAACATACAGCTTTTGAGACACAGTTCACCCCATAATAGCATTCAATACATTTTAGTAGTCTGACATTTTGCCCTATTCCCTGTTTCCTCTTTCGGTCCCACTCAACCTCTGCATCTACTTAGTTCCACTTGCTGCTCAGAAGTTTTTTCTTTAGCAAACCTGATAACCTCAAAGCTTGTTAATGAGGATTAGTTTGTGCATTGGTATATTTTAGTGCTTCTAAGCAATACATTTGCATAGACTTGAAGGCAAGTTTGGTGTCTTTACAAGGGAGTGTGTAGGGTGAAATTTTCTATTTGTAGCCTGTGAATCTGCACCTCCTGCATTGCAGGCAGATTCTTTACTTCTGAGCCATTGGACCACTGGAGAAGCCATTGGACCTAGATAATCTGTGTGATTTTTTTAATTTTAATTTTTATTCTATTTTTAAAATTTAGATTAGTTATTTATTTTACCTTACAACATTGTATTGGTTTTACCATACATTGACTTGAATCCACCATGGGTGTACATGTGTTCCCCTTCCTGGACCCCCCTCTCAACTCCCTCCCCACCCCACTGATTTTTATGAGAGTCTGCTTTTTTCTTTTTTCTTTTTTTTAACCTTTCTGTATTCCAAAGAGAATAAGTTATAAATACTACTGTAATGTGACATTTTAAAATTGTATCACCTTTTCCCTCTGGAGAGAATGTTCAAGCTTTATAATCTGTGTGTCCTTCTTTACTTCTAGTTTTCAAATTTTTCAAACATATGTGTCTCTTTTTCCTTTTCTTGTTGTGAGATGAGATGAGAAATATCTTTTTCTCACTCTTTGCTTAACTTCTTCTCCGTGAGAATTCTGTCACAAGAAACAATTCAGGAAATATTAATGAAGTGTTTCTTTTTAAATCTGATATGCTTTAGGATTGCACCTCTCTTGTTAAATTGTTTTTAAGCCTCCATGACTGATCTTGCTTTCCATCAGATCTCTTACCCCTTGTATACCCTCTATAAGACATTTCTAAAATACTGTAAGAAATCCAATAAAGTAGGGCCTGTATGTCAACTTCATGATCATCCTTTAGAAATGTCTATGAAAGGTGTGTGCATTTTTCATTGTTCTATTTTCAAAATGAATTAAAATAGTTTCTCATGAATAGTTTTAAGTTCTGTTTTATATTTTCATTTCATTCAAGAGTTTTCCATTCAAAAGTTTACAAAGGGAAATGACATTTATATTTTCAGGTTTAATACCAAGAATTACCTGAAATTTTAACAGTCAACATGGGTCTTTTCCATAATTTCAGCTAATAAGTAAGAAAACTTAGATTTCTACTGCATTATTAATTGCTCTTATTTTGAGTCAATGTATCGGTATTTTCAGGGATGAAGAACCAGGAGGCCAGCTGGTAACAGATAAGTTCCATATTGACTGGGATTCAGTACTTGTTGACACAGATAACATCATCATTGCACGGTTTGATGGAAGAGGAAGTGGATTTCAGGGCCTGAAAATTTTGCAAGAGATTCATCGACGATTAGGCTCAGTGGAAGTAAAGGACCAAATAGCAGCTGTGAAGTAAGTAGGTGTACATCTTCTTATTGTTCGTCCTATAGTGAATGCTAGGTATGTGATATATAATACTATTAATGCCAAGAGGTTTATGTCTTAATGATTAGACAACTTTCTAGGTTGATTAGATAGACCAGCAGTCCCCAACCTTTTTGATCCCAGGGACTGGTTTCATGAAAGACAATTTTTCCATGGACCAGAGAGAATCTATTGCCACCACTGGTCTGACAGAAGGTGGAGCTCAGGCAGTAATGTGAATAATGAGAGGGTGACTATAAATATAGATAAAACTCCACTAACTCACCTGTCTCTCACCTCCTGCTGTGTGACCCACTTCTTGAGAGGTTATAGACCAGTACCAATCTGTGGCCTGGGGAAAGGGACCCCTGATATAGACTATTTTTTTCAAGTATCTTTCACACTCATTGATATAATAAAAGAATTATCATACATCCCCCTCTAGAGTTAGAATTCACTTTGGATTTGTGAAATGGGAGAGACCTTCAATAAACTACAATATTATTTATTTATAGTAATCACAATGTCTATTATTTTCCCAGTTAATTACAGTTCTTGAGCTTTCACAAATACCTTTCCCACATGGGTGAGAAAATGTGAACTGAGAAAGCTGATAGGTTCTTTAACACAGTGTATAGATATTAGCTAAGATATTGTTAAAACGTAGATGCTAATTCAGTAGGCCTATAATGGACCCAAGATTCTGCATTTGTAATAGGCTAACAGGGGAGACGCCCAAACTGCTCTACTACTCTGAGAAGCAAGATTTTGGTATATAGTACCCTTCCATATGAACAGAGCTCTAACCACTAAAGCAGTTCTTGTTTGACTTCTGTTTTGTCTTTGTTTTTCCTTATGGCTAAGAATGAATTTCCATGGTTCATTTAACTCAAGAAGATATAACTATAATTTTTTTCATTTCAGATTTTTACTGAAACAGCCATACATTGACTCCAAAAGATTAAGCATTTTTGGAAAGGTAAACAGTAGAAATATGTGTGGGTACATTACCTGTTTCTATGTGTACTTGTATAATTACTCTCTTCATATTACTATAATTTCTATTATCCTTTAAATGAAACATTGTAATTAATATTATATAAATTCAGTTATTTATTAACTCAGCAACTATGTACTGTGTATCTCTAACTGGAACGTGGTGTTAGAAATAGAGCAACAGTAGGACAAAAAAAGAAAACAAGGAATCTGTTTTCATGAAGATTATCTTTTAGAGAGGAGAAAGAGAAAGTAAACAAGTAAATTAAAAACATAGTTTCATCTGGTACTATGTCTTTTAAGGAAAACAAAATAAAAAAACTGATGGATGAAAGGCACAATGTTATTAGATTGAGTGATCAAGTAAGGCCCCTCTGATTTAAGTGATATTTAGGTGGATACTTAAATAACAAGAAATAATCAGTCATGTAAATCTGTTGAAGGAGCCTGTTATCCAAAGAAGGAACAAGGACCACAGACTCAGCAAAGACTACAGGGCTTAGAGACTAAAAGATGACCAGTATTCATAATTATATTGCTGTGCTATGCATGATATTTACTTCCTTTTAAAATAATTTTCTATTAAAGTACAGGTGGGACTAGTTGTAAAGAACCCACCTGCCAATGCAGGAGAAAAAAGAGACGTGGGTTAGATCCCTGGGTCCAGAAGATCCCCTGGAGGAGGGGCAACCCACTCCAGTATTCTTGCCTGGAGAATCCCATGGACAGGAGCCTGGTGGACTACAGGTCATAGGGTTGCAAAGAGTCAGACATGAGTGATTACACAAGCACAATTATCCCATATAGATACAAAACTAAATAGGAAAAATTTTTTTTTTCCTTAAAATGGGCACTCAGGATTTACTCTCTTGCTCTGTTGTTCAGTCTCTGTCGTGTCTGACTCTTTGCAACCCCACAGACTACAGCCTGCTAGGCTTCCCTGTCCTTCACCATCATATGGAACTTGCTCAAACTAATGTCCATGGAGTCAGTGCTGCCATCCAACCATCTCATCCTCTGTCATGGGCAAATTATCGGAGCTTCAGTTTCAGCATCAGTTCTTCCAATGAATATTCATGACTGATTTCCTTTAGGATTGATTGGTTTGATTTTGGACTGGATTGGTTTGCAGTCCAAGGGACTCTCAAGGAGTCTTTCTTCTCCAACACAACAGTTAAAAAGCATCAATTCTTCAATGTTCAGTCTTCTTTATGGTCCAACTCTCATATTCATACATGACTACGGGAAAAACAATAACTTTGACTATATGGACCTTTGTCAGCAAAGTAATATTTCTGCTTTATAATATAGAAAACTCAGCAGTGGCCACAGGACTGGAAAAAGGTCAGTTTTCATTCCAATCCCAAAGAAAGGCAATGCCAAAGAATGCTCAAACTACTGCACAGTTATACTCATTTCACACGCTAATAAAGTAATACTCAAAGTTCTCCAAGCCAGGCTTCAGCAATACATGAACCATGAACTTCCAGATGATCAAGCTGGTATTAGAAAAGGCAGAAGAACCAGATATCAAATTGGCAACATCTGCTGGATCATCAAAAAAGCAAGAGAGCTCCAGAAAAACATTTATTTCTGCTTTATTGACTATGCCAAAGCCATTGACTGTGTGGATCACAATAGACTGTGGAAAATTCTGAAAGAGCTGGGCATACTAGACAACCTGACCTGCCTCTTGAGAAATTTGTATGCAGGTCAGGTAGCAACAGTTATAACTGGACATGGAACAACAGACTGGTTCCAAATAGGAAAAGCAGTACATCAAGGCTGTATAGTGTCACCCTGCTTATTCAATTTATATGCAGAGTACATCATGAGAAACGCTGGGCTGGAGGAAGCACAACCTGGTATCAAGATTGCTGGGAGAAATATCAATAACCTCAGATATGCAGATGACACCACCCTTATGGCAGAAGATGAAGAAGAACTAAAGAGCCTCTTGATGAAAATGAGGGAAGAGAGTGAAAAAAGTTGGCTTAAAGCTCAACTTTCAAAAAAGTAAGATCATGACATCTGGTCCCCTCACTTCACGGGAAATAGATAGTGAAACAGTGGAAATAGTGGCTGATTTTATTTTGGGGGGCTCCAAAATCACTGCAGATGGTGATTGCAGCCATGAAATTAAAAGACGCTTACTCCTTGGAAGGAAAGTTATGACCAACCTAGACAGCAAAATAAAAAGCAGAGACATTACTTGGCCAACAAAAGTCTGTCTAGTCGAGGCTATGGTTTTTCCAGTAGTCATGTTTGTATGTGAGAGTTGGATTATAAAGAAAGCTGAGCACCAAAGAATTGATGCTTTTGAACTGAGGTGTTGGAGAAGACTCTTGAGTGGCCCTCAGACTTCTAGGAGATCCAACCAGTGCATCCTAGAGGAAATCAGTCTTGAGTGTTCATTGGAAGGACTGATGCTGAAGCTGAAACTCCAATACTTTGGCCACTTGATGCAAAGAGCTGACTCATTTGAAAAAGACCCTGATGCTGAGAAAGATTGAGGGCAGGAGGAGAAGGGGACGACAGAGGATGAGATGTTTGGATGGCTTCCCTGACTCAATGGACATGAGTTTGGGTAAACTCCGGGAGTTGATGATGGACAGGGAGGCCTGGCGTGCTATGGTCGATGGAGTCGCAAAGAGTCGGACACGACTGAGCAACTGAACTGAACTAAACCGAATCTGCATACAGGTTTCTTGGGAGGCAGGTAAGATGGTTTTGTATCTCCATTTCTTTAAGGGTTTTCCACTATTTGTTATGATCCACACAGTCAAAGGCTTTAGCGCAGTCAATGAAACAGAGGTAGATGATTTTCTGGAATTGCCTTGCTTTGTCTGTGATCCAGCAAACAGTGGCAATTTGATCTCCGGTTCCTCTGCCTTTTCTAAAACCAGCTTCAACATCTGGAAGTTCTTGGTTCACGTAATGCTGAAGCCTAACTTAAAGGATTATGAGCATAACCTTACTAGCATGGGTGATGAGGTCAGTTGTTTGCTGGTTTGAACATTCTTTAGTACTGCCCTTCTTGGAAACTGAAATGAAAATTGACTTTTTCTAGTCTTATGGCCACTGCTGGATTTACCAAATTTGCTGACATATTGAGTGCAGCACTTTAATAGCATCATCTTTAGGATTTTAAATAGCTCTGCTGGAATTCCATCCCCTCCACTAGCTTTATTAGGAGTGCTTCATAAGGCCCACTTAACTTCACAATCCAGAATGTCTGGCTCTGAGTGAGAGACTATACCATAGTGGTTATCTGGGTCATTAAAATCTTTTTTGTACAGTTATTCTGTATATTCTTTCCATCTCTTCTTCATCTGATCTACTCTTATTAGATCTTTGCCATTTCTGTCCTTTATTATGCCCATCTTTGGATGAAATGTTCCTTTGATATTTCCAATTTTCTTGAAGCGATCTCTAGTCTTATGCTTTCTGTTTGTTGTTTTCCTCTTTTCTTTGCATTGTTTGTTGAGGAAGGCCTTGTCTCTCCATGCTTTCTGGAACTCTGCATTTAGTTGGGAGTACCTTTCCCTTTCTCCCTTGCTTTTCTTCTTCTCTTTGCTCAGCTATTTATAAATCCTCCTTAGACAACCACTTTGACTTCTTCCATTTCTTTTTCTTCAGGATGTTTTGTTTGCTGCCTCCTGTGTGATATTGTAGACCTATGTCCATAGTTCTTTAGGGACACTGTTTCCTTGATCTCCTCCCTTGAATCTATCAGTCACCTCCATTGTATATGCATAGGGGATTTGATTTAAGTTGTACCTGGCTGGCCTAGTGGTTTTCCCCATTTTCTTTAGTTTAAGCCTGAGTTTTGCTATGAGGAGCTGATGATCTGAGTCAGCTCCAGGTCTTGTTTTGCTGACTGTATCCAACTTCTCCATCTTTGGCTACAAAGAATGTAATCAATCTGATTTTGGTATTGACCATCCGGTGATGTCCATGTCTAAAATCATCTCTGGTGTTGTTGAAAAACAGTGTTTGCTATTGACTGGTACATTCTCTTGGCAGAATTAAATTAGCCTTTGCCCTGCTTCATTTTGTACTCCAAGGCCCAAATTACCTTTTACTCTAATTATCTCTTGACTTCCTACTTTTGCATTTTAATCTTCTATGATGAAAAGGATGTCTTTTTTGGTGTTAGTTCTAGGAGGTCTTCTAGGTCTTCATAGAACTGATCAACTTCAGTTTCTTTGACATCAGTGGTTGGAGTATAGACATGGATTACAGTGTTGCTGAACGGTTTGTCTTGGAAAAGAACTGAGATCATTCTGTCCTTTTTAGGTTGCAACCAAGTACTGCATTTCAGACTGTTTTGTTGATTATGAGGGCTACAGCATTTCTTATATGGGATTTTTGCCCACAGTAATAGATATAATGGTCATCTGAATTAAATTAACCCATTTTTGTCTATTTTAGTTCACTGATTCCTAAGATATCGATGTTTACTCTTGCCGTCTTCTGCTTGACCATGTCCAATATACCTTGACTCATGGACCTAACTTTCTAGGTTCTAATGCAATACTGTTCTTGACAGCATCAGATTTTACTCTCATCACCAGAAAAATCCACAAGTATTTCTGCTTTGGCCCAGTCACTTTGTTTTTTTCTGGAGCTATTAGAAGATATCCTTCCTCTTCCCCTGTAGCATGTTGGACACCTTCCAGCCTGGGGTGGGGCTCTTTTTTGATGTCACATCTTTTTGTCTTTTTATGCAGTTCATGGGGTTCTCACAGCTAGTGTACTGGAGTAGTTTTCTATTCCCTCCTCCTGTGGATCACGTTTTGTCAGAACTCTCCACTGTGACCTGTCTGTCTTGGGTAGCCCTACACGGCATGACTTATAGCTTCATTGAAATATGCAAACCCCTTCAACATAACAAGACAGTGATCCACAAAGGAGCATATGTAACATACAGCAGGATTAACTGCAGTTATCATGTGATATATTATATATACCTGGTGCTTA